AGGGGTAACATTTTTCCAAAGGCACCTATACAAGTAGATAGGCAACTAATAGGATTTTGAAAAGCACCTAGGCACCTAACTGCCATGAGCATTATGTGCCTGGGTGCTTTTCAAAATCCTATTAGGTGCCTATCTACTTGTTTAGGTGCCTACATACCTTTTGAAAATCTGGTCATAAGTGACTTCAGGAGTCTAAGTTAAATATTCATTGTGACTTAGGAATCTAAGAGCCTAACTCTCATTGACTTTCAATGACAAAGACACTTTTGAAAATATTACCCTAAATGAATTACAGCTAGATTGTGGTGTCTTTTACACCTCAAGTGTCTATGAGTCTATGATTCACTGAACTCTACCAGTTCATTAAATATGCTTTAAATCAAATTCTAAAAGATTACAGAACTACGAATACTAGTGACTGGATTCTGGGAGGTGCTGAATGACCCTTAATCTACTCTGAAATCCTTATGAAGTCAGCAGGCAATGAAGGAGATCTGCAATTCACAAGACTGGTTACTAATGCTACAATTCTATGCAATTTATACGCAATGGACAACTGGGGAAGCAGATTTTTGTTTCATACCTTCCAACTGGTGCCTCTTAGGGACCAAGTGCAAAGGATCTCTGTAAATAATTATTTTGAATGAGCATTGTTTAATGACATATAGAAAAGGAAGATGGAAAGTCATAGCATTAGGATGTCTTATCTATCACCCTTCAGTGAAGAACTGTTCTCTGCAGTCTACCTTACAAGGCTTTGTCCGGTACAGTTTTAAATTTTTCAGGTTTTAACTGACTTAAGCCACATTATACAACATGGGATCTTGTAGGAAACCTTGAGGCCCCCAATGTTAAGCTTTTTCTGAGATGAAAAGTGACCATTTACTTCTACTCTGCTTTCTGCCTTGCACCCAGTTTTTGATCCATCACTACACCTTGCCTCTCACCCCAGGATGACTTAGCCTCTTGTGCAGGACCTTCTCAAAGGCCTTTTTAAAGTCTACAGAAATTATGCGAGCAGGTTCTCATAAAGAATTCTAAAAGATTCACGAGACATGATTATTCTTTGCAGAATCTGTGCTGGTTAGACCCTATCAGATCATGATCTTCCAGGTGTTTTGTTATTGTTTTAAATATATTTACAACCAATTTACCAGGTACAGATATAAGACTTGCTGATCCGTATTTTCCTGGAGCTCCCCTAAAGCCTTTTTCAAATATAGGTACAACATTTGCTACCCTGAAATTCTCTGTTTTTAATGAAACGGCATATTATTGTTAGCAGCTGTTCAGCTAATTCATACTTGGGCTCCTTCAGAACTCTGAGATGTACCATCTAGGCCTGGTGACTTACTGATTTATAAATAATTATGTGGCCCCAGCACCTCTTCCTCCCACAGTTCAATCCCTGTTACCAGAAAACGGCAGGTCAGGGTAGGAATCTTCCCCCCACATCCTCTGTGGTGAAGACTGATGCAAAGAAATCATTTCTCATTCTTAATCGCTCCCTATAACTGCTGATTTTCAGCAGACCCACAGATTCTTTGATAGGCTTCCTGCTTCTGCTAGATTTAAAGAATCTCTAGTTTGTTTTTAAATCTTTAGCTATTTGCTCTTCCAAATGCATTCTGATTCTTCTAATTTTCTTCTTACTTATTGCCTGCTGTAATTTATGATCCTCTTTATTGCCTTTAGTAGAGTCAGATTTCCAAATTTTGAAGTAACTCTCTTTGGCTTGAATTGCCTGTCGAATTCTACCATGTAGCCATATTGGCTTATTCCTTGCCTTTCTGGTTCTTTTTTCATTTAATGGTATGTCTATTCTCTGAGACTCTATTATTGTTTAAGTAGCATGCATCTCATCTCTAGCGATTTTACTTCCTTTCTTTTCTCAATGATGATAGGCCCCTTAGTGATTGTTAAACCACACACAACTTCCATTGACTTCCACGGGAGTTAAGGTTTTTTGTCAGTTCTTACATCAAGCCCTTAATCTTTCCTCATCAATCAGTTCTTTTGTTGAATTTTATCTGAATTTCCTTTAATTAGTGGATATATTCATGGATTTAGAGGCTCTCAAATTTACACAAAGTATTTTAAGGAGAAGACATAGCACTTCTAGAGTGCTAGAAGGCTGTCCTCTGATAATATAGTACCATGACTGTACTTGTCATCTCCCTGTAACTATCTCTTCCCGGCTTCTTCTGATATGAGTCAAGCTATAAGTAGTTTCTCTAACATTCCATGAAGATGTGCAGCAAAATATGGGGTTTAAAACATGTAGTTTACCTTTTTCAATAAAAATAAAAAATGTTTTCATTGCTTGCTCTTCAACATCCTTTGAGTAAGACATGGAGGTAACCAAAGTATATTCAGTTTCACTTTGTTAAGGTGAAGTTAAAATTGCAGGGACACAGTATGAATTTTGCCTTCCAAGAACATTAGAATTAAACTAACCTCAAATAAAACGAACATCACACACAGGAACCCCAGGAAATGCAGAAGCTTGAAAGTGGATCCAGTGATTTTCAGAAGGCTTCTTGGGTGTTCTCCTTTGCTACAGATCTCAGATCTCACTAGGACCACAGGAATGGGGAGTGCTGTTTTGATTTCTCTCCCCACCAGTTCCTCCTGCTTTCTTCAGATACCCTTCCCATGTTCATATTCCCTCCCACATACAAGGAGCAAGTCTTCCTTCCTATAGGTATCAGAGATTCAATGCTGAAGTGATGAGTGAAAGGGGAGAATGGGCTAGAACAGGAAGCTTATGTGGAGAATGGGGAGGGGACATTCCTCTACAGAGTTCTGCAAAAGAGGAGAAATCCCCACAAATAGGTCAGTTTGAAAAGTGGGATTTTTTCCATGGAAAGTTTTGACTAGTAATCGAAAAACCAAAACATTTTTATTTTTGGTCTGAAAATGTTTAATTGTACACCTCTACCTCGATATAACATGACCCAATATAACACGAATTCAGATATAATGCGGTAAAGCAGTGCTCCGGGGGGGCGGGGCTGCGCACTCTGGTGGATCAAAGCAAGTTCAATATAACGCGGTTTCACCTATAACACGGTAAGATTTTTTGGCTCCCCAGGACAGCATTATACCGAGGTAGAGGTGTACTAGTGGTTTTGTGTTTTGTCAGTTTTTTGCCAAAAATTTTCTGTGCATGGATGAAAAGATGAAAAATTTTGAGTTTTCTTCCGAAAAAAAAAAAAAAAAAAGGAGAGCCGATCCTTTCCTCAAATATTTATGTTCGGTCAAACCCCCAATTTTCCATTACAAAAAAGTTACGATGGAAAATTTTCAGCTGGCTCTATCAGCAAACTTCAGTGAATTTAGCATTTCCCTTTGTGTGACTTTCAGTGGAAAATTTCTTTTCCCAAAGGTCCCCAGTAATCAGGTTTCACTGTGAGCTCTCCCCTTGCAAAGAAATGGGCTAACAACTGTTTTTTTAAAATAAGCAGCAATTGCTAGGAGTTATTTGATCTCTAGGGGAGTCTAGTAAATTAAATTGTATTTATTTATGTTTTTTTAATTACATGGCAAAAAGAAAATGTCTAAAAGAATATTTGAACTGTAATGAAAAGCGATATTTTTAGCGGAGAAATCTGACAAACAACTTGTTTCAAATCACTTCAAATTTTGCAGAAATTTTTTTACCTTGGACCAAGTTCTCTCCTATCAATTTTAAGTCAAAGTTGCTTTTTTGGTGATTTATGTAGAGCCCCCAAATTGAACTTCTAATGGAAACTAAATTGCATCCGTAATTAAGTAGGGCCTGCATCATTCTATAATATTTACCTTCTTTTTTATAAATACAGGCAGAAGGAGATTAAGTGCTCTGTTCTTCACATGTTCTTATGCAACCCTCATCACCATATATGAATGGACTGTAAGGTGGATAGAAAGCTGGCTAGATTGTCGGGCTCAATGGGTAGTGATCAATGGCTCCATGTCTAGTTGGCAGCCAGTTTCAAACGGAGTGCCCCAAGGGTCGGTCCTGGGGCCGGTTTTGTTTAATATCTTTATTAATGATCTGGAGGATGGTGTGGACTGCACTCTCAGAAAGTTTGCAGATGACACTAAACTAGGAGGTGTGGTAGATACACTAGGGGGTAGGGATCGGATACAGAGGGACCTAGACAAATTAGAGGATTGGGCCAAAAAAACCTGATGAGGTTCAACAAGGACAAGTGCAGAGTCCTGCATTTAGGACGGAAGAATCCCATGCACTGCTACAGACTAGGGACCAAATGGCTAGGTAGCAGTTCTGCAGAAAAGGACCTAGGGGTCACAATGGATGAGAAGCTGGATATGAGTCAACAGTGTGCTCTTGTTGCCAAGAAGTCTAATGGCATTTTGGGCTGTATAAGTAGGGGCATTGCCAGCAGATCGAGGAACGTGATCGTTCCCCTTTATTCGACATTGGTGAGGCCTCATCTGGAATACTGTGTCCAGTTTTGGGCCCCACACTACAAGAAGGATGTGGAAAAATTGGAAAGAGTCCAACGGAGGGCAACAAAAATGATTAGGGGGCTGGAGCACATGACTTATGAGGAGAGGCTGAGGGAACTGGGATTGTTTAGTCTCCAGAAGAGAAGAATGAGGGGGGATTTGATAGATGAACTTTTGCTTCATGAAAAATGAAACTAAGGGTTCCATTGTGAACTCTTCAGAAAGGGT